CAGTGCATTATTGGAACGTCTGTCGCCTTCCGGTGGGGCTTCCCTCCAGTCCTTTCGGGGATTAGTTTTACTCTTCCGTCATTTTTCGACTTTTTCGATGCTGTTTCTGATTTTAATAGTTGCCGCTTTCCATCCCTTGTCTCGCCATTCCTAATTATGGTTCTATATTCCTTGTTGGCACCCTCCCCGGGGCTCGAGTGGTGCAGCCCGGTCCTCATGTGTCTTGCGCATGCGCCGTGGGTGATTGTTTTGTTCTGGTCGGTGTAGGCATGTGTCGGTGTTCAGCGCACTTTTTCCCGGGTTATATACTGCTCTCACTCATCTTATCTCTCCAGTCATCGCCCCTGGTTATTGGGGTTGTTCTGGGTTTTATGTGTGGAACAAATCTAGTTATTTCTCTTCTTATGGGTGGGGGTGGCTAGGAGTGGCACCTCCTCTGCCTCTCCTCTGCATCTGATCTCCTGCACAAGCATCTCTGGCCATGCTCTACTAGGAATGCTCCCAGACTGTTTCACGGCTCTGCTGTGTTGTGACCCGATAGTGCCTCTGCTCTATAGGTGAGATTACACGGTCTGGTGACTTTGTCAGCTGGGACACAGGACACTTCTTCATTGCCCGTCGTTCAGTGCCTGGCTGCACCTTTTTTATGTTCCAAATCATATTGATGTCTGACCCACGTAGCAGTTGGGTCGGCCCATGTGTTGCGTTTCCGCGGTGGTCGCCCGGGTTGACATCGGCGAGCGCTGGTTTTCATGTTCAACATTTTCCTATTGAATTGATGTGTGGCCCACGACACTGTCTAGCCGCCTAGCCTAGCCTACTGAACCTACTGCCCTGACCTAACCTGAGCCTAACCTGACCTGACATTCCAACTTTGGCTTTTTGGTTTAATGAGTTATCAAGGTGTTTTCCACAATATTCTTGGGGCGTTCCCCGATTTTGCCTTGGGCGACCGTTGTGGGGGTGCAGAGCGTGGGTTGCACCGGTTGACATTCTGGTCGGATTTTGACATGGGATTCGACCATATGTACGTTCCATATACACATACCTATGCTTTATATATGTACGGCATGTATATACGCCTTCTGTACCCCTCCCCTTCCTCCTATGGGTTGGAAGCCATGTTTCCTGTTCTTGGGGTCTGGGTTTTGGTGCTCATGTGGGGTTTGCTTCTCTCATTAGCACTTGAGTTTGGGCGAGTGTCTTGTTTTTCCCTCGCTACTAGTCTGTGTATATGGTTCATGTACCTTCTGTTGCCGATTGCTTATGCTCTTGTCCCTGGCTTCTGGTGCTTGGACTGTCTTTCGGGTCTTTTCGTTGCATTTTACGTCTTCCTACCTCTCTCCTACACATTGTTGTGTATCTTGGTAGGTGCATATTGGCTATTCTCATGCTCATGCTAGGTTGGGATGTGTTCTTGTTCAGTTTCCTGTTGTAGAACAGGCCCGGTGTTCCGGTATAGCTCTTGAGTTCTTCCTCTTCTCCTTGTCTGTCACTACCAGCTTCTGTGTTGCGATGTCTGCTGGTGTATATAGCTCTCCGATCACCCACTCCTGCCCCTACAGTTCCTTTTCATTGGGGCAGGGGGCGCTTGGCTTCTGGCCCTGGCTACGGCTTTTCTTTGTTCCTTCCGGACAGTATGTATTTGTTTTATAGCAGTACATGTCTTTCGTAGTTCTCCTTCCTTCCTCAGCGACACATGCTTCGCTCTACCCTGCTGGGGCTGGTGGTGCCGCTCCTGCGGGTTGCAGTGTCACTGTTTTTCGCTTCGTGTCTCGGGTTCCGACTCGTGATGCTCGGTTTCTTGTTGGCCTTTTAGGCCTTGGTCTTGGCTTTTAGGCTTTTCGCTGCCCTTTTTGCACTTGCTGTTTGCGGATTTTGCGGTTGGCAGTTTCTGCAAGCAACAGCTTCTTTTCGTCTGTTGTCAGGCTTATTGTTCTTCAAGGGTCCCAGGGAGGGGGGGGGTGCCTCCCGGACGGGTCGTGTCTGCTTAGCCAGGTTGGTTCTTTCTCGGCTCACTGGGTTTGGGTTCCTGGTTCCCTGGCAGTCGTTTCTTTTGGTTCTTTGACAGCCTTGGTTCAGGCGAGGCTTGCTTGGAGTTCGCACCCAGGAGTTTTCCCATGGCTCCGCCTCTTTTACATGGTCGGTCCGGTCCGTGGCGGGGCTGGTTCGGTCTTCTCCTCGAGTCTTCTGGTCTGGTACTTTTGACTTGAGTCTCTCACCATCTGTTTGGTGATCAGGTGGCTTTTTGAATGTGTCCCACCTGCATGCTTCGTCTCGGCGGCGGTATGGGGTTTTCTGGCGGTCCTTCTTTTTCTTTGTCTCTTCGTAGGTGTACTGCGCTCTTTGTTGTCGTGGTCTTGTCCTTCTCTCGTGGTGGTTCAGGGCCGTCTTCTGGCCGCATACCGTCGCCCTGTCTCGTGCGGCACTGGCGGAGCCGCTTCGGATTGCTCCGGTTTTGTTGTTCCTTCTGCACCGTTCACGGGTTGTCTCGGGCATTGTTCACCTCCGGCCTGCTCATGCTCCACCTGAGCCGTCCTGCTCTGGGGCAGGGTGCTCTTTTTCTCTATTCCCTTTGGTTTGTTGTGGCCCCTTCGGTTCCGGAGGGGTCCCTGGAGGTTGTTGCTGCTTGGTTGGTTGGCGGGGTGCTTCTTCTTGTGTCCTGTTGCGGCTCTCTGCCGTTCTTTGCACGCCACGGCCTCTGTGGCCGGGCTGCGCTTTGGGTTGTTCCGGTTTCCCTTCCCTGTTCTCGGGTTCGGGTCTCTCCGGTCGTCCGCTGGGTCCTTCTGTCTAGCCGGCCTGCGGTCTCTCCCCGTGCCCTTGACATTCGTAGGTTTGCTGCGCTTGCTGCCGTCTTTGGTGGCATGTCTTGGGCTGACATTCGGGCACAGGGTTGTTTTGGCGGTCGCGCTGGGTCCTGGCTGCATGCTCCCTCATGTCTGTTCCTGGGCCTAGTCGGTCCTATATCGCCTTGGGTCGGCAGCTTTTGCAGCCTGTTGTCTCGACTTCGTGTTGTGGTGTCGGTGTGAGCACCGACCGCCTCCCGGATGCATCCCTCTGTTTTCGTCTTTCGTGGAGTAGCTCTGGGGAGCCGTAGGGGCTCCCCCCAGAAAACCAGCATTGAATGTAATGAAATGCCATTTTCTGGGTGAGTACCGGAGGCTCCCCGGCAACCCTCCCTCCCTCCGGTCTGCGTTTTTTCGCGTTTTTTTTATATCCAGCCTCAGAACTGGGGTGAGGATCGCCAGCGCGAGGGTCTGGGGCTCCCCCTTCCCCCTCCCGGGAAGGGGGGAGCTGCGCAGACATGCGGCGCGGCTCGTGTGACGTCATGCTTGTTTGCTCGTTTTTCCTTTGGGGAGTTCTGTCCACTCGTTTGATGATTTTCGTTGTTAACCAGAATAGGGGTTTGTTTTGTGGCGCTTACCTTTCTGGGTGCCTGTCCCGGTCGATGGCAGATATAGAATGCTCCAAATCACATGTGCATTTCTATGGTCCATTGCTCCTCGTGCCTCTGTGAGGGGGGGCCAGGTTCTGGCTCGTGGTCCCTGGTAGGCCTAGAACTCCACCTACATCAACTGATGCAAAATAGTTAGGGTATCCATATCAGCCATGGATAGCTCTGAGGAGCCTCCGGGACTCACCCAGAAAATCACTTTCCCCTTTTCCCCCCTCCCCCCCAAAAAACAAAAGGCATGTAAAGGATAATTATTCTGCTTTAGCTTTTCTGTTTAACTTGGTTGTTGTCATTCAACTTAACACTCCACCAAACACTGAGTTAATTAATTCATTATTCTTACACAATTTGTGCAATAATAAGATTAATATTTTACAATTCTGTCAAAATATTCCTTAATTAAGAATTTAAAGTAAAATGTATCAGCAATGCTCACAAAATAACATTTCAGTACGCAAATTCAACTCCTTAATAATATTATGTAGAAATGATCTGTGTTGTGAATTAAATAAACCTATTATTAAAAATAATATGAAAGATCAGAGCTTATAAATGAGAACCATGTTTTATATTACTGTAATCTGAAAGAATTTAATTTAGCATCATAAGAACATTTTCAGTATTGTACAATAGTAAAATTATACAGCACAATGACTGCATCTCATTTCAAGCATGTGAATTGACCATTTATCACTGGACTGTGACCACTTTATATGTGCTAAGTTTATGCTGGCACGGCCTAAAGCATCGTGGCCGGGAAGTTTGTACAGGTTAACGTATGGAAAGTTTTTCCTTCATCAAGTATTTCAGGCTGTTATATTTCACTGTTGTATTTCAGTATTTATGTAATGCACAACCACTTCTCACCAGTATTGACTCCAGCACAAAGCAAAGCCTCTTGGTTGTTACTAGCGTACTTGCAGAGCACTAAATCAGTTTTGGAAGAATGTTGCAAGTGTCAAAAGCCATTCAGCCATGCAGTTCTTGGGATGAGCACCACAAATATATATATTTTGGAGCTATTAATGTTTATACAGTACAATACACTATACTTGTAATTAGTTGACATGTAATTTGTAACATGTAAGCTGATTCATACTCTTAAGTACTGAATTAATTTTAACTAGCATGCCCTGAGTAACTACATATATCTTTTTTTTTTTTCAGTGTTCTTTATTAAGATGTTTTATGCAGAGAAAAAAGTCACAATGCTGCTGAAACAAATAAGCCAACTCACACACATGAAATGAAAAGTCTTTGACTCTTATCAAGTCATAAATTAAGGGTCACAATTTGATAAGGGTCTAGGATGGACCAATATGTGGTCATTTTCATTACATATCATAAGTGTGGGTTGGATTATAGATGTTTTGCATTCTTCTTTATTTTACAGTATTTTATTTTAAAGTAATCATTGTAGTGTTTTTATAAGTCAAGAAAATAGGTCAATTTGTGTATTTTTCACTGCATTTGAACTGAGAAATACTAACACTTAAGAGTTAAAGTATCTAATATAAATTATAAGTGCAAACATTGTTTTCGTCAGATCCACCATGGTTGAGAAGCAACGCCAAGAAGCAGCAAATAAGAAGCATGACCTGAGCAAGTGGAAATATGCAGAACTTCGAGATACTATCAATACTTCATGTGACCTTGAGTTATTAGAGGTACTGTACTGCTTTGTAAATTGCATTGTTCATTACATCATTATATCCTGCGCTGCACACCTGTTTCATGTGACAGTTTGGTAGTGCGCATGAAAAATATTCAAAATTGTTGTTTCTACTATTTTTTAAACTGCATCCTCTGATCTCAAAAAAGTTAAAAAAAAAAAAATGATGTAGCTTGCTTTGACTGTAGTGGAGAGGGAAAATCTCATGATGTCACTAACTCACTCACACTGATGGAGATGTCCCGTGGAAGACGCCCATGCCAGGTGCGTGGCAGGAATTTCCATGATATATTTATACTGATTTATTTCAGTGGCACCGATTTTGTTTTTCTTGTTTTTAGCAGTTACATTATGCAGTAGTGTATAATTTGAGAAATTTCTAAAAAAAAAAGTGCAAAACATCGATACAAATACATTCGTGCACGAAGAAATCACACAACATGATGTATCAATGAGAAAATTTATATATCACATTAATGTGATTTTTTTGTGCATTTGAAGAGAAGCATTAGCGGTAGAACTTCTTTTTCTGTGGGGAGCCCCTACGGCTCCCTGGAGCTTATCGGGCTAATGTATGTTATATTAGACCGGGACATTAGCTAAGGAGTTCAGACCTACCAGGGACCAGCGCCAGAACCTGGCCCCTTCAGAGAGGTTTCAGGGAGCAATGGCCCTGGAAAACCCCCTTGTGGTTGGGGTTTTCCTTATCTGCCATCGACCGGGGTTAGGCACCCAGAAAGGTAGGCATAACAAAACAAACCCCACATGGTAAAAACTAAAACAAAAAACCGAACAGAGAGGTAGAAACTCCCTACAATCCCAAGGAAACAAGCAAACAAGCAAACATCACACTTTACTGCCGCGCCGATCGTCCGCGCAGCCCTCCCCGCCCCGAGAGGGGGAGGGGGGAGCCCCGGACCTACCGCGCCGGCTGCCTAGCATCAGTTCGTAAGCTAATGTCAACCGGGATAGACGCTTCTCTGGCCTCAGTTTCCTATGCCGTGTGTTATGTTGTGCGGTGGCCAGGAGTACCTCATCAGTGTCGGGGCTGCATGCGCTTAGGGGCTTCCTTCCCTAAGCGCCCTGTGAGTACTGCCCCTGCGTGACAGGGTTATCTTCCCTGGGGCGTTCGGGAACCATTCCCGTAGAGGTTCTTGCTGCTCGGCATTTGCCTCGCCCTTGGGGCCAACTGGGGCTTGGGGCCCTTGTTTGGCCCTGGGTAGTGACTGGTATTGTGCTGGTTAGGGCGTCAAGGTGTTGCGCGACCTGCCACCTAAGCGGCGACCGGTTCCTGTTGCCTCTGGAGACGGTGTACTTTTGCGGGGTTTTTCTTTTGTTTTTATTTTCATTTGCCTGGTGGGGGTCTGCCTAGTGTGGCTATAGTTCCACTGGTAGTGTTTGGTGGCCCTCTGCTAGGCCCCCGTGATTGTACATGTCGCAGGGGTTTTCAGTGTTGTCCTCTACCCCGTGTTATTTTTGGGTGTTTAACCGGTTAGCAACACCTTGCCCGGGCTTCCCGTAATTGTTACCTCCACGGGCCCTGGAAACCCCTGTCGGGGCTCGGTGGACCATTGAATGTGTCTTCCGGGTCCCAACCCGTCTTGTACGGGATCGTTGGTTGCTGTGCCCTTGTCTCCGGGTGACAGTTGCCACTTTTACCTCCGTCATGTTGCCTGTTGGGTCACTGACACCTTGACCCGGAGTCTTGCGAGAGAGATTCTCTGCTTGTTCTCCAGTACTCTCCTGATGTTATTACTGTTCAGAGTACAGGCGGCATCCGTGTTGCAAGCTAGGTTAGGTTGCTGCAACACGCTAGGTTGGTTTCCCACTCGGATGCCCCGAGGCCGCCCCGTTTTGGTTAGGTGCTGTTCGCCCCTTTCCCTCCCTGTTCCCGGCTCCGGACCGTCTGCGGGTTTCGGGGTCGGGGCGGGGTTTAGTTGGGGCCGAGACTCGGGCGGTTTTCGGGGGCTGCCCCGTTCGGGTTGGGGACGGAGGTTTTCGAGCCTGTTCCTCCTGCCAAGGCTTCTGGGTCTTACCAGCGGCCCTTTCTTGCTGCCTTTCCCATGGACTCTTCCTTTTCTTTAAGGGCGGAGGGCTTGGAGGACGGCTCTGCCCCGGGGCCTCTGTTGCGGGTTCCCGGGGCTGTGGGGGATGCCTGCTAGCAGTTCTGGGGCGGTTTGCCCCTGCCTGGGTTTTCTGCTTCTGGGCGGAGTTTTTCGCCCATCCAGTCTGCTTGCTTCCCACTTTTGCTGGCGTGTTTTCGTATCTTTTGCGTCGGTCACAGCCCTCTGTTCTGGTGGCCATTTTCTTCTGCCGGTTTCCCGGCGTGGCCACCAGGGCGGCGTTGCGGTTTGTTTACATGCGCCTGGGTGTGCGAGCGAGCGTCTTGGGTGAGTTTTTCACCTTTTTCAGGGGTTTTATTCTCCTGTTGTCGTTTCTTTGCTTTTCTGGTGTTTTCTGCCCGTTTCCTGTTCCTCTGGGAACGTTTGAGTGTTGATTTTACACCGGGTTTTCCGTTTTGTCTGTTTTGGGTCTGGGCCCTTGGGTTTGGGCTCAGTGTCCCTGTCTGTTATGCTTGCTCCCACACCTTGTCCCTCGGTTTTTGGTCTGTTTTGACCGTTTCCCTGGGGGTTCTGTCTGGGGGCTGTGCTTTGCCTTTCTGTGGTGTATCTCCGCCGGCAAATGTGGTGGTTTGGGCTCCCCCTGGTTCGATTCCGGGTTCCTTTGGGTTCTTTGGTTTCGTTCCGGAGGTTTCTTCCTCTTGGGCCCCCTTTGTGGGTTCAGGGGGCTTTGTTTCCTCGTGTGTGACCCGGTTCTGCCTTCTGGGGTTCCGGGGTCTTCCTGGCTTGCAGACTGATCTTTTTGGGTCTTGGCACGTGTTGTGGTCGTGCTGGGACTTTGGGGTTTTGTTGTCGAGGTGGGCCTTTTGATGCAGTTTTGTGCCTTCTTCGCCTGGCCGGCGTGGTGCTCTCTGCCCACTGGTCGGCGGCTTGTAATTTTCTTTTCACGTGTATGTGTGTGTGTACACATGTACATGTACATGTGTACACTGTGTGTGTGTGTGCACATGTGTATGTGCATACGCACGTGTGTGTAACATACCTTGTGTGTATGTGTATATGTATGTGTATGTATATACATATATACATATATATATGTATATATGTATGTATACTTTTTCTTTCGGAAGGGGCTCCGTTCCCTTCTCTGTTGACGGGGCGCTGGGGGAGCAGCTTGCTCTGTTGACTCTCGCATGGTCCCGCAGTTAGTGGGCGCTTTTGGTTGTCTTCCGTCCTCTGGTGGCAGCGGTGGACGGCTTCTCCCCTTTGGGGGGTTCAGGGAGAAGCGTGGTGTGGTGGGCTTCTTCCCCTGCGCTTCGTCATGTCATCTTAGTGGGTGCATTGGATGTGGTCGATCGGCCTCATCCTTCTGGGGTTCCCGTCTGCTCTATGCAGACACGGGCCTGGCGAATCTGCGATTCTTCTGGACTTCTTCAGCCTGCGCCCTTGATTCTATGCCCTCATCGGAGGACTGTTGTCTCCTGTCCGGCTTCTGTTGGGGCCGGGTGCCTGGATGGTGGCCCTGGACCTCCAGGTCAATTCTTGGCACGTTCCTCTCCAGTTTTCCGGGACTGGCACAGTTGGTGGTGGGGCTTCAGGCTTACCGCTTTTGTTGCCTTCCCTATTTTGTAATTGGCACTTGGTGTATTTACGCATCTTTACCGGATCTTGGTGCCCTGTCTGAGTCTGCTTGGGATTCGGTGTCTGGCCTACCTCGACGACTGGCTGGTGTGGGCTCCCAGTCGGTCCGCTTGTCTGCTCGCCAGGGGTGTGGTTCTTTCCAGATCGCCGGGTTTGGTTTCCTGGTGATCTGGAGGCCGTTCCATTTGTTTCCGTCCCGGGTTCGGACCTGGCTGGGTCTTGTTTAGGGCTCTTGGGCCGCTCCTTGTCTTTCCCTCCAGAAGTGTTGCTGCGGCTGTGGTCCCGCCTTCGGCTGTTCATGAGGGGGTCCCGGGTTGCTCGGCGGTTGCTCGAGCAGTTGTGCGGGAGTCTGAACTTCGACGTGCTGGTCTGCCCGCAGGGTCGGGTTTGGCTTCGGCGTCTGTTTGGTTCCTTCGGAGACTCCCCTTCCGCCTCTCTTGCAATCGTTGGGTTCGTTCCTCCGGGGATCTTGTGTTGGTGCTGCGTCACCAGCTTCCTCTTTGGGGTTTTCGGGGTTCCGTGCCTTGGCACCTCCCCGAGCCTTCGCTCGATGTGTTCACGGACGGGTCATCTCTCGGCTGGGGCTTTGTGACCAGTGCTCACCAGGTCGGCCGGGGATGGTGGGGTCTGTCCGTCCGTCGGGCTCACAGCACGGTTCGGGAGTTCGTGGCTGTCTGGTTTGCGCTTCGGAGGGTTTGGGTCACTCGGTGCTCTACCATTCAGCTCCATTCGGACTGTTCTCTGGCGGTTCTTTGCCGGAACCACAGGGTTTCTCTTAGGTGTTTGACCTTTGGGGTTGGTCCCTTAGAGTGGCTCGTTTGCTGGATTCTCGGGGTTTGGCTAACCGTGAGGTTCATGTCCGGGGTGTGTCCTGCGTCCTGGCGGACAGCTGTCTCGGTTCATTCCTCTGTTCGCGGATTGGCCAGTCGTCGCCGACTCGTTTCGTTGGCTCTGCCGGACGTATGGACTCCTGGCCATGGACGTCTTCGAGTCGGCGTGGTCTAGGCGTCGCCCATTCTATGTGGCGCCCTTACCCGCCTGCGAGGCGTTCACGGTGGATGCCTTTCGGCAGGACTGGTCGAGGTGGGGGTACCTGTTCCTCTTCTCCCGGTCCAGCTGTTGCTTCGGGTTCTGGCTCGGTTGGAGCCCATTCCCACGAGAGTAGTCCTTATGGTCCCTTGGTGGCCGGCCCAGCTTTATTTTCAGACGCTGCTTGATAGGTGTCCGAACCCGGGGCGTTTTCCCGCGGCTCCGCCTCTTTCGGCAGGTCGGACCGGTCCTGTACGTGACTGGTTCGGCCTTCTCCTCGGCTCTTCGCGTCTGGTATTTTGACGCGGGTATCACCATCTCTATGGTGATCAGGTGGCTTTGTTGATGGTGTCCCACCTGAGAGCTTCTTCTCGGCGACAGTATGACGTTCCTGGTGTTTCTATGCACTTTTTCTTGCTCTTCGTAGGTTGTCTTCTCTTTCGCATCGGGTTGTCTTGTCCCTTCTTGGGTTTTCAGGACTACAGTTTTGATGTTTCTTACTGTCGCCTCGTTTTGTGCAGCGCTGACGGAGCCACTCCGGCTTGCGTTTGGGGTGGACGTCACATCTGCCCTGTTTCGTACGCTTTCTCGAGTTTTGTTTCACCTCCGGCCTGCTCATGCATTGCCTGAGCTGTCCTGGTCCTTGATCAAGGTGCCTTCTTACCATCTCAGTTTGCAGTAGCCCCTCTGGTTCAGGTTTCTGCTCTTTGGTACTGGTAGTAGGTTTGTATGTTTGCAGCCTTTCTCCGTCCTCCTGGCGATGGTCGAGACGGCTGCTTTCTGGAGGGGTTCTTGGGTTATTGATGCTTGATTGGTTCTGCCAGGGGTGCGTCCTGTATTGTCCGGTTGTGCTTTTTTGCCGTTACCTGCGTACCGTGTCTGGGGATGCGCTTTGGGTTGATCCGGTTCCCCTCGTTCCCTGTTTCAGGGCTCGGGTCTCCCAGGTCGTCCGCAGAGTTTTTAAGTCTTCCAGCCTGCGGTCTGTCCTTGCGCCCGTGCTGTTCGGACGTTTGCAGCTTTTGCTGCTGTGTTGGTGACGTCTAGGGCTCTTTTCGGGCGCAGGGATTTGAGGGTCGCACAGGTTCTTGGCCGCCCATTCTTTATGCGCGTCTGCTCCTGTGCGTTCTTGTTGCCTTGGGTCGCAGGTTGCAGCCTGTTGTCTCGGCTTCGCGTTGCGGAGTTTGTGGCGGCCGCCTCCCGGGTCAGCCCTTTCTTTTCCTTCTCTTTGGGTATGAAGCTCCAGGGAGCCGTAGGGGCTCCCCACAGAAAACCAGCATTGAATGTAATGAAACGCCATTTTCTGGGTGAACCCCGGAGGCTCCCTGGCAACCCTCCCTCCCACCGGTCGGCGTTTTTTTCGCGTTGGTTGAAGCTTAGCTTCCGAACTGATGCTAGGCAGCCGGCGCGGTAGGTCCGGGGCTCCCCCCTCCCCCTCTCGGGGCGGGGAGGGCTGCGCGGACGATCGGCGCGGCAGTAAAGTGTGATGTTTGCTTGTTTGCTTGTTTCCTTGGGATTGTAGGGAGTTTCTACCTCTCTGTTCGGTTTTTTGTTTTAGTTTTTTACCATGTGGGGTTTGTTTTGTTATGCCTACCTTTCTGGGTGCCTAACCCCGGTCGATGGCAGATAAGGAAAACCCCAACCACAAGGGGGTTTTCCAGGGTCATTGCTCCCTGAAACCTCTCTGAAGGGGCCAGGTTCTGACGCTGGTCCCTGGTAGGTCTGAACTCCTTAGCTAATGTCCCGGTCTAATATAACATACATTAGCCCGATAAGCTCCAGGGAGACTCCGGGGCTCACCCAGAAAATGGCGTTTCATTACATTCAACGCTGGTTTTTTCCCGTTTCGTGGGCTTTCTCGTGCTTTGTTTCACCCTCAGTCTGCTCCAGAGCCGTCCTGGTCCTTGGACAGGATGCTCTCCTATCTTTCTTCTCCTCAGTTCGTGGTGGCCCCTTTGGTTCAAGATTGTTTTTCCATGGCTCTTTTTGTTGGCATTGGCCTTCAGGGGTCAGGTTGGTGAGCTTCATGCTCTCTCCTCTCCTCTCTTCCTCTGATAGTGGGATTGTTAGGTTGCAGCCTCCTTCTTCTTTTCTGGCGAAGAACGCGATGGCTGCTTTCCAGAGGGGGGTCCTTGGGTCATTAGTGCTTGGTTGGTCAGGAAGGGGTGCATCGTGTTAAATCCGGTTGGGGCTCTTTGCCTTTACCTGTGCGCTTTGGCTTCTGTGGCCTGGGATGCGCTTTGGGTTGATCTGGTTTCCCTCGTTCCCTGTTCCAGGGCTCGGGTCTCCCAGGTCGTCCACAGGGTTATTAAATCTAGCCAGTCTGCAGTCTATCCTCGTGTCAATGATGTTTGGAAGTTTGCTGCTCTGGCTGCCGTCGTCGGCATCATGTCTTGGGCTGCTATTCGGGCGCAAGGATTTTGGAGGTCAGAGTCCTGACTGCCCGTTATTTGGTCGACATTCCTGGTCCTGGGCGTTCATATGTGGCCTTGGGTCGCAGATTGTAGCCAGTTTTCTCGCCTTTGAGTTGAGGAGCATGTGGCAGCCTCCTCACGGGTATGACCCCTCTTTTCCTTATCTTTGGTTATATAGCTCCTGAAAGCCGAAGGGGATCCCTGGAACGTTCCCTATCCCTCTTTCCCTCCAGTTGGTGGTTTTCGCTTGGTTTTGTGATATTTAGCCTCCGAACTAAGGTTGCGTAGCCATCGGGGTGGGTCCAGGGCGCCCTCTTCCGCCTCCCGAGGGGTGGAGTTCTTCACAGGTGAGCGGCACAGCGGCGTGGTGTGATGTTGACTTGTTTCCTTGGGAATTGAGGGAGTTCTGTTTCTGTTTGGTTTTCGGTTGCAATTTCTTACCATGTGGGATCTGTTTTGTTTATGCCTACCTTTCTGAGTGCCGAACCTCGGTCGATGGCAGATAGGGAAAACCCCCAACCACAGGGCCATTGCTCCCTGTGCCTCTCTGAGGGGGGACCAGGTTCTCCCTTGTGGCCCTTGGCAGGCTGAACTCCATTGACTAAAGCCCTGGTCTAATGTATCGTATATTAGCCCGATAGCTCCAGGGAGCCTCCGGGGCTCACCCAGAAAATGGCGTTTCATTACATTCTACTCTGGTTTTCCCCACGTCTATTTTCACAAGGAACACGAGGTCCCATTTCACAATGCGTACAAACACCAAACCATGATTGTGTGCGGTGGCTGTCTGCTTTGCTTTGGGAACATCACAACCGTCATCAGGTTTACTGATATCTGAACCTTGTGCATAATCTTTATCACTGTCAGGGTCTTCTGTCACTATTATCGATAAATAATTTCATATTTTTATTTCACCGTCACAAGTGACATGGTGCGAGCTGCTGCTGCACATGCAGCATCTTTATTTGTGATACTGCCAAGATATTTCGTCTTTATTTGAGATACAGTACTAACACAGCATAGTTGCTGCGTTAGTACCGATATCCTCACACCCAGGGGGGGGGTTCCCGTAATTTTTTTTGGTTTTCAAGGTGTTGTCTGTTTACTGGAGATCCGAAGAAGTGGATGTGAGCCTTGCAAACCCGCGGGAGTTTTTAATCTTATGCTAGACATAAAATCAATCCTGGTTGACACACTCACAACCAATGAAATGACCCTGCTTGATAGGCACAGTTTAAGGGCTATGCAGCAGTAACTAAGTGTACTGTACAAAGTATCATAAGTCATATGCTGTACAGTACTGAATCAGGGATTTGTGTTATCATGGGAGGTGAAGCATTCTGGAGTATTTAGAAACCTTTCTACAGCAAGAACTAATGAAAGGATATAAAGAAAAGAGGTATCCTAAGTTGCCCAGTTTGCATCAGTGTACAATATATCAAATAAAGATAACTAGAAGCCCTGTCAAAGCTGTAACCTGAATAAAAATGTTAGTTATGATTACCAATTTCTTCTCTGTACTGTACAGTTATCTTACATTTATTATGAGTTTACTGTAGTTAATCTTATTTTGTAATAATAATGTGGATTACTTTCTGTATTTATAGGCTTGTCGTAGTGAATTCCATCGTCGTTTGAAGGTTTACCATGCTTGGAAAGCCAAGAATAAGAAGCGCACCACCATGGAAGAAAATCAACGTGCCCCAAAATCTGTTCTTGATGCAGGTATGGGCTTATATTCAGTTAATTTGTATAATTTTGCACATAGCTTGTTAGGATTTCTTGTAATGTTTTTTAACATATACTGTATATAGTATAATGTAACATGTTTGGGTTATGTGACTGAGTATCTTTAAGAAATTTCTTTAAGAAATTAAATTTTTGTGTTTGCCTTAAAAGCTATTAAAATATTTTTGCTATTAAATTCAAGGAATGTAAATTTGTTCTTATTTCTCTTATGCCTTGTAGATATACAGTATTTTCTGTGGGGAGCCCAGTTGGCTCCCCGGAGCTTTCTAGGCTGATATGCTAATGTCAGACTTTGGCATCAGTCATGTGTATGGAGTTCTGTGGGCCTACCCGGGGACTACGAGCCAGAACCTGGCCCCCCTCAGAGAGGCAAGGGGAGCAATGGCCTATAGAAACCCCTGTGTGGTTGGAAGTATTCTATGTCTGCCATAGACCGGGTCAGGCACCCAGAAAGGTAAGCATCCCAAAACAAACACCAATTCTGATGAAAATATTGCTACCAAAAGCCAAACATGTGGATAGAACTAAAAGAAACGAGCAAATGAGCATGATGTCACACGTTGCCGCGCCACTGTCTGCGCAGCCTCAGACCCCCATGCCGGCTATCCACCCATCAGTTATAAAGCTGATGCTAGAGGCAGAGGTCATGTGCTCTGGCTCCGATGGTTTTTCTGCACTGTGCTTCGGGTGTGATGGCTGTCTTCCAGGGGTGCGAGAGCCAGGAGTTATTCTACAGGGCTTGGGCTGCATGCGCCTAGGGTTCCCTTCCCTAGGTGCCTTGTAAGTATTGCCCTTGGGGTTTGGGGTTACCTTCAACAAGTTCCTTGGGTCCTGCCTCCGTTGGGCTGTTTACCTGCTCGGGTTTTCGGCCGCTCTTTGGATGCTTGGGTGTTTTGTCTCCCTTGTTTACCTTAGGGTAAGAGGCAGTTTGCACTGGTACGGGGCGCAGGGTGCTGCACAGCTTGTTTTCACCATTCGAAGCGGCTGGCTCTGTTCCTTGGGGTATGTTGTAATCTTGCAGGGTTTTGTTTTTCTTTGTTTTTGCCTTGTAAGGAGGGTCTGCCTTGCTTACCCCTTGGTGTATTGCCTGCTGCGGTTCTTCTGGTGGTGCCCCCTGCTAGGTCCCTGTGAGTGTACACGTCCCTGGGGTTCAGCTTTTAGACAGTTGATTGGTAGTTTTGGGCACCGGTTAGAAGTACCCTGCCTGGGATTCCCTGAGTGTGAGTACCGTCTCAGGACCCTGGGAAACCTCATGGGGGCGCGTTGGGTCCGATGGATGTGACCCCAGAGTCCCCCCCTCACTTTGTGCGAGTTTGAGGGTTGCTCTGTCCCCTTGTCTCAGGGTGACTCTCACTGTTTTTGCCTTTGTCACGCTGCCTGTTGGGTAGGTGACACTTTCAACCCGGAGCTCTGTGAGTTCTGTTGCTTGCTTGTGACTCGGTTTACCCAGTCTAATGATGATCTTTTACGGGTACAGGCAGTGCAGGTGTTCCATGTGCGCCTTAGGTTGTTGCAACGTGCTCGGTTGGTTGCTCACCAGGATGCCCTGAGGCTGCCCCGTTTTACTTATAGGGACCTGGACTTGGGAGTGGGGGTCGCTTCGACCTTAGTTCAGTCTGCGCCCCTCGTTCTTCCCCTGCTGTGGTACATTCCCCGAAGTGTCTGAGGGTTTCGGAGTCGGGGCAGGGTTTAGATGGTCTTGAGACTCGGGCAGTTTCGGGGGATGCCCCTCTCGGTGTGGTGACGGAGGCATTCGAGTTCAATCCCCCAGTCGCTGCCTCGGGGTCTGACCAGTGGGCTCCCTTCCGTTCAGCTTACGTGGCAGCACCAGCTTTTTCTTTTGGGGCCTGTGTGTTAGGGGATGACTCAAGTCCTGTGGAGGAGGATCTTGGGGCTGACATGGGGGCCTTGGGCCCCACTGGACCCTGCCTGGGTTTTTCTGCCCTCTGAGCTGTACTTAATGTTACAAGGAGTGGGGTTCTCTTATTCCCCCCCCTCTGCGTACATGTTGGACTTGGTGTCTGCCCCTCCTCGGGTTCAGTTCCGTGTCCCCCCGGGTGCGTCGGTTCCATCCCTCCGGAGGTTTTCGGCTTACTGCATCCTACTGTCTGCTGTGCGGGTGGCCCTTGAATATTACCTTCTGCATGACCCCGGATTATGCCTCTTATGGATGCATCTTCATTCAGGTTTGGGTCGTCGTTCCCTTTCTGCGTCCATTACGAGGTTCCGGAGTCATCCTGGCTGGCGGACTGTCCTGTGTTTGCTTTGGAGGCATTCCTTCTGTCGTACCTGCTTGCTTGAGTGGCGCAAGGCTTTGACAGTGGTTCAAGTTTTCCTGGGGGGTGATCTTGAGTACCTCAATGAGTGTTTGTTTGCCCCGGCCCTTTCCTGGGATGTTGGCGTTCTGCAGCTCCATGTGCAGGTTCCCTCCCTTTTGGCGACGCAGGTTATCGAGGACTTGCGCACCCATGGCCTTTTGGCTTCGGCCTTGCGTTTCTTTTCTCTCCTGGAGCTGTCTTCGGACTGGCTTGCTGAGGATGCGCCCGGGTTCGATCCCGGGCGCTGGCGAGAAATGATGGCCAGAGTTTCTTTCACCCTGATGCCCCTGTTACCTAGCAGTAAATAGGTACCTGGGAGTTAGTCAGCAGTCACGGGCTGCTTCCTGGGGGTGGAGGCCTGGTCGAGGACCGGGCCGCGGGGACACTAAAGCCCCGAAATCATCTCAAGATAACCTCAAGGGTCCTGGCTGCTCGTTACCTCGTGAACGTTCCAGGGCCCAGTCGGGCCTGTGTCGCTTTGGGTCGGCGGTTGCAGCCAGTTGTCTCGACTTCGAGTTCAGGAGTGAGCAGCGACTACCTCCTGGGTAAGTCCCTATTGTTTTGCTCTGTGGGTAGTTAGCTCCGGGGAACCGATGAGGCTGCCCCAGAAAACCAGCGTTGAATGTAATGAAACACCATTTTCTGGGTGTGACCCAGAGGCTCCCCGGCATCCCTCCCGCCCTCCGGTCGGCGTTTTTTTGCGTGTTTTGACATCCATCCTCAGATCTGATGGGTTGATAGCTGGTGTGGGAGGTCTGGGGCTTCCCCTTACCCCTCCTGGGGAGTGGGGAGCTGCGCAGACAGCGGCGCGGCAACATGTGATGTCATGCTCGTTTGCTCGTTTCTTTTAGGGGGAGTTCTATGCACTTGTTCGGCTTTTGGTAGTAATATTTTCACCAGAATAGAGGTTTGTTTTGGGATGCTTACCTTTCTGGGTGTCAGACCCGGTCGATGGCAGACATAGAATGCTTCCAACCACACTGGGGTTTCTATAGGCCATTGCTCCCCATGCCTTTCTGAGGGGGACCAGGTTCTGGCTCGTGGTTCCCGGTAGGCCCACAGAACTCCATACACATGACTGATGCCAAAGTCTGACATTAGCATATCAGCCTAGTAAGCTCGGGGAGCCTCCGGGTCTCGCCCAGAAAATGGCGTTTCGTTACATTCAGCGCTGTTTTTTTGTATTATGTTTATTCATTATACTTTTCTCTTGGGTTATATAAAGCAAGCAAGCAAATATTAGCTCAAACAATTAATTTAAATTTGTTTTATTATGTGATCATTATTTATGGAAGAGTGATACAGTATTAGCATAAACTAACTGCACTGCTGATTTTCTCACTTAAAAGCATACAGTCTGACGTACGTAACAGAAAATGGGCAAGTCTGCCGTGTTGTCGGTTACATAAAGAAAGGTAGTATTAAATGTATGCCTTACTGATTGCCAGAGTACTGTGGCTTAAAAATAAAGTATGGTAGTGCTTGAAAATACACCATTTTTCTTTTGAAACATTTTTTATAAGCTTTTGTTATTGATCATAAATTAAAAGGGCTTTGCAACTTGTCTGTCTTTATGATCGACAAGCTCACCTTGGCAGTTCTTTGAGCAGTGTTTTGGTTCTTCCTTGGAAGTCAACATTGTGCTGCATGGAGCCATCCTTGCCCTTAATGATTGCAGAGGCTGGCTCACCCATAATTAGGATTCATATCTTACTTCCTCTTTTATTTATTCATGTTTATTAATGCAAAGAAGTTCTCTTTTTTCCTTTATCTTACTACATTATTACACTTTAAACATTTTGGCCAATAAACTATGATGATGTAGCTTCATTATTGAAGTTCAAAGCATATTTCCACGAATATGTAATCACATACCAACTAAATCATTCTTTTAAAAACATACTTGCTTAAAATTATAATTTATGAATCTGTTGTCATAGACTAGAAATACTTGCAAAGCAATTTTTTTATAATGAGCAATAATTAAATAATTGAAGAAAGGACTTGTTGATATTAATTGGAAAGATTGCAGTATTGTTGGGGTTTGTTATAGAGAAAGGCTACAGGAATGCTCTTTATTTCTTCTTCTGGAAAGAATGTCGAGGGCAGCAGCTAAGACGCTCTGAGGCTGCTCCATTGTGAAGCCTTCCTGCATGTTGATTGTTATTGTATTTATCTGTCAATTGCTTAAATATTAGTGTAATTAAGTAGTATATGTTGTTCCTGAGCAATACATTTCATTTATTTTGTTGCATACAATATTTCAGGCAGACTGTATATGCTTCTTACATCTTCTATATAGTAACAACTGTTTCTTCTGCAGTGTAATTGTGTATTATATATTTGGATGCATTACTGTATGCCATTGATATGCCAAATCAGTAGCAATATTTGAAACTTATGCACATTTCTGGGGGAAGCCCCTGCAGCTCCCCAGAGCTACCCAGGCTGATACGGATATGTTAGACTTTGGCATCAGTCAATGTGGTTCTAGGCCTACTGGGAACCACGAGCCTGAACCGGGCCCACTCAGTGAGGCACAAGGAGCAATGGATTATAGAAACCCCCATGTGATTGGAAGCATTCTATGTCTGCCATCGACTGGGTCAGACACCCAGAAAGGTAAGCGCCCCAAAACAAATCCCTATTATGGTTAAT